GCAACAAATGCTGCTCAGAAAATTAGCTATCCATTTGAAAACAAAAATACAAACTTTAATTTGTGCTTCCTACAAAAATTAACTCAAAATGGATTACAGACTTAAATGTAAAGTCTAAAAATATAAGGCTTCTAGAAGAAATTAAGAGAAAATCTTTGTGACTCTGGATTAGGTAAAGATTTCCTACATGTAGTATCAAAAGCATGATCTATAAAAGAAAAAGTTGATAAATTGGACTTCATAAAAATTTTAAAGTTCCTCTCTTCAAAAGACAATGCTGAAAGAATGAAGGGAGAAGCCACAGACTGGAGAAAAATATTTGCACATCATATACCTGATAAAGGACTTGAATGTACAATATAGAAAGACCTCTCAATACTCAACAGTAAGAAAATAAAGAACAGAATTTTAAAATAAGCAAAAGATTTGAGCAGACATTTCAGAAAAGATACATAGATGGAAAATAAGCACATGATTAGCCATTATCACTGGTCCTTTGGGACATGAAAATGAAAAGCACAATGAGCTATCACTATACATGCTTATCAGAATAGGTAAAATTGAAAAGACTGACCCATCAAAAAGTATCAAATAGTACACTTTTAATATGTGCATTTTATGGCATGTCAATAATACTTCAGTGAAGTTGTTTAAATACAGAAGGGTGGAGAAATACAACAGTCCCCCCTTATCCACGGTTTTGCTTTCTGTAGTTTTAGTTACCCGTGGTCAACTGTGGTCCAGTAGCAGAAGATCCTCCTGACACATCATCATCAGGTCAACAGCAGCGTAACACTACATCACTGCGCCTACATCATTCCCCTTACTTCACCTCATCACGTAGGCATTTTATCAGCTCACATCATCATAAGAAAGGTGAATACAGTACAATAAGATATTTTGAGAAAGACCACATTTGTATAACTTTTACTATAGTATATTGTTATAATTGTTCTTTTATTATTCTTTATTGTTGTTAATCTCTTACTGTGCCTAATTTATAAACTAAACTTTATCATAAGTATATATGCATAGGAAAAACATTGTATATACAGGGTTCAGTACTATCTGTGGTTTTAGGCTTCTATTGAGGGTATCGGAACATATCCTTTGCGGGTAAGGGGTGGAGCTACTATAAAGCAAGGCAATGGAGGATGTTACTATTTTTAAAGATTTATTTATTTATTTTAGAGAGAGGGCACAAGCCGGGGGAGGGGCACGGAGCGGGGTTGGGGGTAGAGAGGGGAAGAAGACTCCCTGCTGAGCCCAACACGGGGCTTGAACTCACAACCCTGAGATCATGACCTGAGCTGAAATCAAGAATCAGATGCTCAACCAAATGAGCCACCCAGGTGCCCCAAGGATGTTACTATTTTAGATAGGTAGACCATGAAGGACTCCTTGATATGACATGGTGACAGATCAGAGCAGAGACTGGAAGAAAGTGACAAAGCCACACATTGGATCTGAGGGAGAAATATGCCTGATGTGTATGAGAACAGCAAGCAAGCGAAGGTGACTGAAGCAAACTGAATGAGGGCAGCTATAAATACAGAGATGAGGTAGTGAGACAGGTAGGGGGGGCACAAGTCATATAGGGCTTTGTAGGTCATAATAAGATCTGGCCTTCACTATAAGACTGAAGTCACCACAGGGCTTTAAGCAGTGGCTTTAAAAGCATCTAATGTTTTTAAAAGGTCATTCTGGGTCCTATGTGGGGCATATCCTATAGCGGAGCTAGGATGATAGCAGGAAGACCAGGAAGGAAGATACTGCAATAGTCCAAGTGACTGACAGTTGGAACTTTGACTTGGGTAAGTGCAGGAGGCTGTAAAAAACAGCTAGATACTGGACAGATTTTGAAGGAAGAGGTGATGAGATTTGCGGGTTTACAAGATGTGAATTTGCAAAAATGAGGGGAGCCAAGATAACTCCAGAACTGACGAACTGAAAGAATCAAGCTGCCGTTACTGAGATAGGAAAAAATGATGGAGAAGCAACAGCCTTTAGCAATGATTTCTCTCTCAGTTCTCCCCCTCTTTTAGTTCATCCTGCACATTGCTGTAAGAGTCATCTGCCTAAAGCACCACTATAATTATATTACTGTTGGATTTAAGAATCTGTATTAGTTTTCTATTCCTTTTACTATCTTGAAGAGGTGAACTACTTTCCCTAAAATGAAAAGACCAACAAGCGTTTGGGTTGGGGGGATACAGATAAGGTGAAACCCATAACTGTGGGAAGACTATTAACACTAGAGTAGCTAAGATGGTCCCCTCCTCATAGCCTTTTCTAGTGGGGAAGGAGATGTGGCTGGCATCTATCCAAACGTCTTTTATCTATAGTACCATCCCAAATTCCTAAGTAGTTCAGGGGGTGGAATAATTATAATGGAAGAGGCAGTATATCATATGTCTATCGTATATACAATACCACACATAGTATCACATACGTTTACCAAGTGCCAGGCATAGCTAGTATTTTATATGCATCATTTAAAACCCTTTATAGGCTCCAAATGATGTCAGGATAAAGTCCAAGTCCCCTAACATGGCTTATAAGAGTCTTTCTAATCTAAACTTTAACTTCTCTCTCCAATCTTGCCTCTCCCTCCCCATGCTTCTGCTTTACTCAACCACACACCTCAATGCTAGTCCTTTGTGAATACACTTCTTTCTGACTAGAATACCCCTCCCTCCTCTATGTCTACTTGTCTAATACCTACTCATCCTTGGGCCCTCACACTAATACAATGCTTCCCAAAGAACATTTTTTCTATTATCTACATTAGGAGCCCACTTCCACAAAAATCTTGCCTTTCTTCACCCAGGTATTTCTCACACTATATTATATCATCTGTTTGTCTGGATCCTGTCTAGATTTAAGTTCACAAAGGCAGAATTTATATTTATCTTATTCCCCAATGTACCCCGATTTTAGGTATTTGGCATATAAATATTGCTCAAGAAACATTTACTTAATGACTGACGTTAAGCTTAGGGGATTTAGAAATACATCATGTAGGGAGAATATGGTTAGTTCAGTCCATGACATGATAAAGTTGACTGAAATAGCAAGACATCCAAAGAGAGATGTTCCATACACAGCTGAAAAAAATGGAGCTGAAGTTGGGTTGCAAAGGGTGGGCTGAGGGTACTGAAAATAAAAAACTGGGTGAATAGAGAGACCAAGAAAAACACTGAGCCAAGGATTGATATTTGGATAAAAGAAGGATGAGAAGCAAGTGAAAAAATAAAGAAGGAATTACTGGAAGTATAAGAGAAATTTAAAAAGCACAGTAATCAGAAGCTAAACAAAACCATTTAAGAATGAAAATAGGAATACGTGTCAAATATGTCAAAAGTAAAGTCAAGAAAGACCAAGATATTTAACTGCTCCACCAGGGCGCCTGGGTGGCTCAGTGGGTTAAGCATCTGACACTTGACTTCAGCTCAGGTCATGACATCAGAGTTGTGGGATGGAGCCCCGGGTCAGGTTCCGCGCTCAGCATAGAGTCTGCTGGAGATTCTCTCTCTCTCCCTCTCCCTCTGCCCCTCCCCTCACTCAGGCTCCATGCTCAGCATAGAGTCTGCTGGAGATTCTCTCTCTCTCTCCCTCTCCCTCTGCCCCTCCCCTCACTCTAAATAAATAAATAAATAAATAAATAAATAAATAAATAAAATCTTTCAAAAAAAAGATTGCTCCACCAGCCATAGGGACCATTCTGTTTTACTCCTTTAGGACCTAATATAGTGTCCAGCACATACAGAAAATTAATAAATATTTGCTGACTGAGGGGATAAACGATCAGAAGCTCACTTTTTAAAAAGTTAACTTGTAAATTAGAATGAGCCTAAACCTTGCCATCAGGAATCTTGCCCTGAGTCATTCGCCAAGACTTTTTCACTTTTAAAACTTAAATAAAATTCCTACCTCATCCTTTGATTTAGTATTAATGGATTTTTTTTAAAAATATTACTCATTTGACCTTACCCCTTTAGTTTAAGTCTCTTCTATCTCTTTTATCTTTATCGCTGAAATAGGAAGTGTCAGTACAAGGGGCAGTGGGCTTGAGAGAGCACTGATAAAAGAACTGCTCACACCCTCAAGTTTTAATTAGTACTGCACTGAGTTGTTCCTCAACCAGATCATCTACACTGGCCTTGGAAGCATAACGTACAAAAAAATAACCTATTTTGGGTAGCTTAAGTAGTGAGCAGACCAGATTATCCTCACTAGATAGTCATTAGACAATACTGAAATCAATCTAAAGAAACTGCCAACTTAATAAATCATTTTCATTATAATTTAGAGTGCGTATAATAACAAGATTCACAAAACAATGATGTGGCACAGATTATTAAGTCTGAAAGTTTACTGATAAAAAGAAGGAACTTAAGTAAATCCTAGGTTCAAGAGAATACAGTCATCTTAAAATGAGATACGTCTCTACATATATGAAAACAGAAGGAAAGAGAACAGGAGATAAAGATTATTAATACTTGAGATAATGGATATGTGTATGAAAGGCATCAGAGACAGGAGGTGAATATGAACTGAAAGAGGACAGACATCAATGATGTGGAGGAAGTGCAGTGGATATGCTGAAGTCAAGATGAGAACTACGAAGAGCACTGACCCAGATGGACTACAGGTCAGTAAACATGAGGGAGATCAGAGAAATTAGGAGCCTTAGAATAGAGAATGATGTTTGTAATACCTACAGGAAGTCTGCCTGGGGAAAGACCAGAGGGAGAGAAAGAGAATATGAATGAATAAGAATGAATGCTGGTGCCCAGAGATGACATGTTTTATATGTTACTGTAACTATGACCAACTCTGCTAGCATTCTATGAAAAAGACTCAAAAGTAAATTTTTTTTTGTTGGTAACTCATATGCTATGAACAGGAGGAGGGAAAAATGAGCCTTCAAGTGAAAAACACCCTAATGAAGACTGAACAAACAATGGGGCAGTCACACAGCTGGCCAAATAACTTACCTGGTCGTATCCGTAAGGCCTCTGCTGTGGCGGTTGTGGTGGTCCAGGCTGTGTTGGTCTATAACCCCCATATTGCTGACCTTGTCCTTGTGGGTAGTTAGGATACTGAGGACCTGGACCACCCTGTGAAGGACCTGCAAAATAATTAACACAAACAAAAACCCAGATATAAACACAACTCTCAAAAGGGTTTAGAACTAGATGCTATTATGTTTTTATATCTAAACAAAAAAGGATAGTTTAGCATCCTGATCTTCTCAAATATTTTGAAATAAATTCCATAGTTTGTAAGAGTGGAAATATTGTAAGGATGCCACCATGTACAAGATGTTTTGATTCGGTGTAACTAGTAAGCTATGTGTTAACCATCAAAAAAAAATTTTTTTTAATGAGTAAAAGAGACTCAGGAGTTGTGAAGCAGGTTAATTCTATGGTATTAAGAAAATTCATCTACACCTCTACTAGAAAGTAACCAGTATAAGCAACAGATAAAAGAAGAAGCAAGAAGCAGATTCAAATTAAAATACAGAAATAATTTCTAAATAAAGTTTGGGAATCAATGATATTTATAGCTGTATGACTCTAGATTTATACTTGCAATCCCCCCAAAATCACAAAGAATAATTTTCCATGTAAATTCTAGATTTATATTTGCAATCACCAAAAGAATGCTTTATGTTCTGCATTGGTAAACTTACTATCACAATATTTTTAAACCAAAACTAAAGAAGACTTGAAAAGCCACAGGTTGCATGTGAAAAAACTTGTTTCAAAAGTTATATTCTGTGTACCAATCACCTTTAATACTTAACCCATAAAAATGAGTGATTTCCAATTCCAGAGATGGCAAGGGACTAATCTGGGTTGCCCAACAAATATGTCTGTTTCATAAATCCCACTACTGCCTATTGTAAAGAATGCTTTATAAAGCATAAGCTGAAAAGCTTTGACACTTAAATGTTTTCTATCATAGCCATTCAAAATCTGCCATTAAAAAAAAAAAAAACTGATGGCAGAGGAAAATGTCAAAAGAATAAATTTCCAAGCATAAATTCCATCAGTCTATTATTTATTTATTATACATTCAATTTTTAAAACTCTAAATTTTCTATTAGAAGAAAGTACAACAGAAGCCTATGAATAAGCAAAATGGGAACTTCTTTGGGATTCCCAATGTCTAACAAAACAGCATTTAACTACTTCAACTGAAAATACTCAGTTTCATTTACTCTTTCTTCCCATTGACAGTATTTGTATCAATGAATTTACTTGATTTAACCACACCGTATTTGTTTTCATGTAAGCACAATAAAACCAGAATACTTATTTAAAATACAGATTTTCGATGGTCATGAAACGAAAATTGCCACTTGAGAAGAGCAAGAAATTCCCCTTGTAAAAACAAGAAATCCATGGAATATTTCTAAAGTCATATCTCAAGTTAGGGAACCAGAACTTATCAGTTTGGGGGGAAATACCTGGCTCCCAATACCTGACTAAATTTTAATGCATACTTTGAAGGCACAAGAGAATTTCAGCCTGATCCTGGTTCTTAGATTTGCAATGACGGGTAGAGAGAGGTGCCCATAGTAATCACAGAGCTTAAAACTAATGGATAAAAATAGTGACATTACTGATGTAAAAAAGAGACCATGTTAGCAAGAGAAGATGTCAGATTAATAAGCAGTTACTTCTCTAACATTAGAACCACACTTTCCTATATATAAAGTAGTGCCAGTAGCTTAAAATTTAAGAATGAGATATCAGGTCTTTATCATCCCCCACTCCCTATCTAATGAAGTTATTGAAAGCGAGATATCCAGCTACTAGATCTTATAGTGAGTATATAATAAGAAAATATGGCTACACTTCCCCAAACTCTGTAAGATACATAACAGCAATAAATACACCTCTATGGATGTATATATTGCTATTTAACCAAAGAATGCAAAAACATTTTCTTTATGCATTCCAAATAAATCTTATTTGTACTCTAAAAATCAATGTTATTTTTCATAATAACAGTCATTAGTTTTAGAAATAAATTTGCTAAGCAGATTATGTAGATATGGTTAATAATCACCCAATTCATCAGTTTTCCAAGCACATACAAAGCTACTGGGTGGTCATGAATGCCAAAGAGGTTTAAGAATTCATTTAAGAACTCATTTTAAATTGATTACATACCTTACCTTTGGTCAATGAACCATCTCTAGTTTATGTTTCTTTTTAAATGGATTACTAGTTTATCTGAGGAAAACATTTTAAAGAAACACTCCAGTAATAGACTGAGCTAAAGAATTCTTAGAAAAATAAACATTAAATATTCACTTCAATATTTCAAAACAGCAATCATCACATTTTTTGTGACAAAAATAAACTGCAAAAAGCTATTACCATAGCCCTGCTGCTGTCCTGGATAGCCCTGCTGCCCCGGGTACTGCTGTTGCTGGGGCGGATATCCCTGTTGGGGAGGTGGTCCCTGGTAGGCATCTTGCTGTTGGCCATATTGTGAATTTCCTACAGGATAATTGGAGAAGAGAAGAAAGAAACTAAGAAGTTCGCTTAATTAACTTTTTTACTCTAAGATGCATAGCCAACAACACAAGAACAAAATGAAATGCCATATTGATTTTTGAAAGTTAACAAAACAAAGAAAAAACTCAAACCAAACAGAAGGATTTCGGCCAAACAAACTGCAGTTAAAGCCAATTTTGCAAGGTTGAACTGCAGCATTTTCAGCGTCTCTGCCATACGAGCATTACATTTACTGGAACATCACAGTCATAAGATCATGACTATGCTAAATAAAATAAAAAAGACAAAATTAAAGACAGCTACAAGAGCACACACTAGCTACACAAGATCAGCAAGCTGTTTCCTAAAGGCACTATACTTATATGTAAAATTATACATATGTAAACACACACAAGAAAAAAAAATTGGATCGATGGATTTGTGTTCAAATAGAAAATTTCCACTGAGGAAAAATTATTTGTAAATGTTTTAGTCTTTTTATTGTTGTTAGAAATGGCAAGTCATGGTTATACATTTTAAATATTTGTAAGGAAATTATTTTGAATGTTCTGGGCTCCCTGTAACTTTCAAGACAGCCAGCAACTAGTATTCTACAAGAGCTTTGCATGGGTAGAAGTTGTCTTATGCAAGAATTTGCATTCCTGTAGAAGGGGATATATATGTGTATGTGTGTGAAGGTATATAGATACCTCCTTCGTAGTAATGTTGTGAGGAATCCTCATAAGGCCTATCGTAGCCTTGTTCAGGATACGACGGTTGCTGATAACCGTAATCATTATGACCTACATCAATTCGACAAGAGACAGGAAGAAACGTTAATGGCCACTGAGTGAAAACCCTAAATATATTTAAACTTTCAGATAAAATTGAAAAAAAGAAAAAGAAATGGAAATACATAAAAAATAATTTCAATTGCATTAGCCAAATATTTACCAATGTGATTGTTTTCATATTGAGATAACGTGCAAATTTCTTAAAAGCAAAAAACAGTAATTTTAGAAACATTACACTTAGTCTTAACTGATAATCCTCATCAAGGGGGGAAAAAAACTTTATCTTCAATTTTTTTTAAAAAAGAGAATGAAAGCATCTAGGCCTTTCACATGTAAATAACTTGAATTAGAATGAACAAAGAAAGCAATTATCACATTTTGTCAAACACCTGTTCTGCTGGTCGCCAATTCCACAGCATATGCTAAAACAATGCAAAATATAAAAAAGCTCATAAGTTTTTTCCCCTGAAAGAAACTGAAACAAATTTTTCACAATCTATTTACTTGCATAAAGTATATGTATCTTATATTTTCAAATACAATATTATTGCTCAATACTGCCATTCTAGAAGCCTTTAGAAAATATTTCTAGAGTATCGTGAACATACACCTTCAAAAAATTAATACTGTGTCAAGTACTAGGGCACACCTTTAGTTTTAAGGCTCAATAAATTTTATGACTGGACTTTAATGAAAATCAATAGTCTAGTTCTTTGAACTAAGTTGCACTAAGAGAATGCAGGAAATAACGTTTCAGTTAGCTAAAATCTAAACTAAATTTTAAAAGAATACCTAATTAAGAAGAGGAATACAGTTATGAATAAATGTTATATTCAGTGTTCTAGAATTCCAACGTTCCCAAACCACCTCATAAATATCCACATTAAGGGTTGGCAAACTATGGCCTGCAGTATAAATATGGCCAGTGGCCTATTTTTGTATATAAAGTTTTACTGGAACACAGGCATGCCTATTCACATTTTCTATACCAGTTTACATGCTATGACAAGGGTTCAGTAGTTGAGACCAAGACCATATGGCCAGCAAAGACTAAAATATTTACCCTCTGGCTCTTTACCGAGAAAAGTTTGCCAACTCCTATCTACGTATTTACTGGCATAAATATCTGAATGATAGTAAGAAAATATTCAATGCTATTTAAGAAAATTGTTGTTATAAATGGAATACTCTACATAAATATCAGAAAAATTATTAATATACACCTATGCAAAAATGATACCATTTAGATTTTTAAATCCTCTGCCTGATGTGATAAATAATTTACATAACCTTAAAGATCTGATATACATAAAAATAATGTATCTATCTATTTTGAGTAGAAAGGTCGTATTTGCAACAATACACATTTCACATTTCAGGAAATACTCAGGACCAAAATAACAATGTCAAATTCATCTCAATTATGTAAAATCCATTTTAAAAATTAAAACTGTTTACTTTCAACATTTACTTTCAGACTTCCTAATACATAAAATCTGACAAACTAGATTTCACTTCTTTAAAATACCCACAGTCTATAAACCTACTGCAGTTTTTCATTTAAAAAAAAATCTTAATATAGTATCTACATATGAAAGAAAAATGAAAAAAAAACTCCAACATGCTGACTAATTCAGGGCAAGAAAACCTGAGATTTAAAAAAGATGTCATTTTCTAACAAGAAATATCCATATATATCACTATCACTAACGAACAATTATCATATGCAAAATTCTACAGATGAGTGAATGCCCTGCCTATATAGGCAGAGTCTCTTCAGTAAAAACCAAAGTCCTGATACCAATATACCTTTATGCTTTATACATTAACAAAAAAATGGCAAGCTAAATGATTTTTTAAATACACCAGATTATATCGTCTTAACTAGTCTACATTAGCTTTGAGTCAACAGTCCCAACACTTTAGCTTTTAATTTTTAGTTTCTCCAAGTTCCTCTGTTAAGTAGTTTACCTTAAATATACCAAGGGAGCTTACTGGATAAATGAAGATTTTGACAAAGCCTTTCATAATAAGATAAATCATACTGTTATGTGAATAGCTACCTCTAATTTATCACAGTTTTATATGTTTGGATTATTTTTTCCTCAACAATGTATCATAAAATTTTCAAACATACAGAAAAACTGAAAGAACTATACAGTGAAAGCCTACTTATGCTTGGGTCATTACCGAGTGCAGTACATCTTTAGTGACCACTCTTTCACAAGCCACCTTCCTACTTAAAAAAAAAAACCATTAAACTAAATAATTAAAATTAAAATCTTGTTTCCAAATGCTTTTCCTATCCTACCAACTCTATACACAGCTGTATCATGGATATAATATACCTTCCAAATTTTTTCAGATGCAAATGCTAATGTATATAAACCACAGTTCTGTGAGAAGTACTTAACGTTAACTAAAATGATAAAACCTGGAAAAATACTCGAGAACTAGATCTTCCATGTATTTATACCATGAATAAAAGTAAACCAATGGGTGAATTTTATAGTATGTGAATTATCTCAATAAAGCAGTTATTAAAAAAGTAAGTAACATTTGCTTTGGTTCAAATGAACAATTTGAAACATAAAAGGATCCTCTTTTATAGAAGAAGGGATTCCAATGACAGAATGTGATTCCTGATGGTACTAATATGGAATATATAAACAAAATATACTTTGAAATGGATTATAAACTAATGCGATCACTGGTGCTTTAGATTATTAAAGTGTTTCTAAATTTAGAAGAAACCTATTGTTAGTTTCTTCAGCCTCATTAAAATGTTTTGAACAGCTATCTACATTAATCTTGGGCAGGGATAGAAAATGGGAAAATTAACATTAGGAGAGATTACCATCAGGGTAATATTGCTGGTTCATGCCTTCTGGAGGACCTTGTCCACCATGACTGTATTGGTCCCCATAATAGTCTTCCTGGCCTGAGTACTGCTGTGGTGGGCCTGAAAAACCACAACCAGTCAAGAGGTAAATAATTTGTTCTCTAGGTCATCAAAGGCTTTCTTTCTAATCTGATATCATAAAGAGATTATTTCTCACCTGTAGATTCCCCTCCCATGCTCTGGCATTTGAGATACTTTTTAACTATTCTTATACACACACACAGATACACAAACACACAGCAATACCACATTACATTTCACAAAAATTGTTACAACCATACATGCAATATCTAACAATACCAAGTTAAAAAAACAAATACTGACTCCTTAAAAAGAGGTTCAAACTAGTGGAAAATTATCTTCTTTTTGATATTAGAGCAGTTTAGAATAAACTAGGGTTTGTTTCTGACCATATATTAAGTAACTTTTCAAAATTAAAATAGTATCTTCTGTTTATATTAGTGAGCTTTTGATATAAAATTTAATTATATAACCTTTTCCCAGGAAAGGATAGATAAAAGAAAGCTCTGTAACAGGAAGTTCCTATCCACTTCATGACCCCTACTATATCCACCACCTTTTAGAAAAAAAATATGATAATCATAAAAATCAAGAAACAAAAAGCCCTGACTTTGCCTACATGAAAAGTTTATTAAAATAAAGTCTTTCAACTACTGTTATTTATATTAAGCAGGAAATTTCCCAAATGTAATCTTACCCTGTTGAGGTGGTCTATAAGGAGGAATCTGCCTCTGACCCATCATATGATTGCCTTGGTTAACTTGACCCATCATTCCCATAGGGGGCTGCTGGCCTTGATAATGCTGTCCACCTCCCTGTGGCATATTGTATTGCTGAGAAGGAGGCTGCTGATGCATCATTGGACCTGAAAGCAGACAAAAAATTATGCACATAATTTTTATGCATATAATTTTAACACCTTAAGAGAAATGCAAAAACCTTTTGTCATATAATCCCCAAAATATATAATGTATTGTAATGAAAACTGACTTCAAGTAATAAAAACAATCTTTCAATTGAAGTTCATATGCCAAAAATAATCTGCAAACAAGGGAAAACAACTAACCCATTGTAGTTGATTTAAAATCTCCTGGAAGAGTATTCTAGTAATTTTTAAAAAGCAAAGTATGTATGTATGTATGTATGTTCATACAATGTATGAACAATGTATGAACAACCTGAATGTATTTTTTTATTATATACTATATAATATTTATCTACACAATCCCGGGAAAAACAGAATCCTTAAGCTATACAAGAAAATACACCAAAACAAAGTAAACTTCACAAATTCACACAGCAAATCAGTGGTCAAACCAAGGGAAAGAAATCTAATTTCTGGATACCGATTTTTTTCCACCTTTTTCAATGCCCACTCATTTCATTATATAATGGTTGATAGGGAAACTACACACTTATACTTACATCAGTGGAATTTCATGAACTTTAATTTTAGGACAGAATTTTATCTTTTTTTAAAGATTTTATTTATTTATTTGAGAGAGAAAGAGCACAAGCAGGGGAGCAGCAGAGGGAGAGGGAGAAGCAGGCTCCCCACTGAGCCAGGAGCCCGACATGGGACTTGATCCCAAGACCCTGAGATCATGACCTGAGCCGAAGGCAGCCACTTAACTGACTGAGCCACCCAGGTGCCCCAGGACAAAATTTTAAAGGGTCTTCTTTCCCTTTTCCAACTATAAGATTTATAAATGAAAAAAGCTTCCTGAAATCAAAGGGCTGTAGTGCTTCTTAATAAGTTCTAACACACACACAATCAAAAATACCCAGGCAGAAAACTGTAATAAGGCACAGACTCAGATATCAGAACTACAGTTTCCAAAGCAAGCAATGCTGAGGTTGCCAAACTACCATGGCTATAGAATCACAATGGCAAAAGTAAAATATATCACATGAAACAATCAACAATGGCCATAAAAGTTCTGTGTTGCCATCTAACAATGTAAAGAGCTCCTCAGAGGTTCATTGGGTCAAGTTATGGTATGGAGAACTCATCATTCTACCATTATAATCATTACTGTCTCAGAAGTATGTATGAGTCATCCCCTAGTTTACTGCTTAAACAGCTACGTACTCCTCCTTTTCAGACTTACGGACAATTTAAGTACAAAAGGAAAGGATTAGAGGGCTGAGAAAACTTTTACAGACAAAATTACACAGATGAACCAAAAGCTCATTGTTTATTTAAAAAAAAGTTAAAACAAAACATGCTCACGTCTCTTTTTTTTATTGACGTCTTTTTTTTTTTTAAAGATTTTATTTATTTATTTAGATGAGAATGTGTGCACAAGCAGGAGTGGGGGTGGTGAGGGAGAGGGACAGAGGGAGAAGGGGAGAGAGAAGCAGACTCCCCTCTGAGCAGGGAGTCAGACAAGGGGCCAGATCATGACCTGAGCCAAAGGCAGACGCCTAACTGACCGAGCCACCCAGGTGCCCCTTTGCTCACTTCTTAAATATATTACTGGCCTACAAAAGCAGCAACATTAGCAGGAAGAATTTAACTCTCTTCCAATTTGAAAAACTGTATTATCTAAAGTATTTTATCAGAGCTCTTTTTCTATTTGCCTTCTTTCGCTTTTCTACTTCATTTCAAATTCATTTTTCCTTCTAATTTTATCCTAAATATAAACCTTTCAAAGGTTACTCTAGGACTTTTCTTTCAACAAGGAAAAAAAACTCTTAATAGTAGGGATAAGATGGCTCAGTGGAGAATGGAACACTGCCAGACACACTTTCACACTGATTTCACATAAACCTCAACCACCAGAGGTAAGGATCCTAATTTCCAAGTTTTTAGCTAAGGAATGCAAAGATCAAGATAATCAACTGGGAACCAGACAAAACACAAGTTTGAAACTAGTTTAATTGAAGTTTTAAAACTGAGTGGCTCAGACAGTTAAACAATGGACTTTTTTTTTAAGTTTTTTTTTTTTTTTGTCAGAGAGAGAGAGCACAAGCAGGGGGAGAAGCAGAGGGAGAAACAGGCTCCCCGCTGAGCAAGGAGCCCGACGTGGGGCTCAATCCCAGAACCCTGGGATCATGACCTGAGCCGAAAGCAGACACTTAACCGACTGAGCCACCTAGGTGTCCCTAACCGTCAGACTCTTAATCTTAGCTCACGTCTTGATCTCAGGGTTGGGAGATGGAGCCCCTGGTTGGGCCCGCGCTGAGTGTGGAGGCTGCTTAAGATTCTTTCTCTCCCCGGCCCTCCCATCCCAACTCATACACACATGCACACATGCACTCTCTCCAAATAAACTGATTTTAAAAACCAGTTTAATTGAGCTTACAATTTTTAAAATATATTTTGTATATAATAAAGTATTGAATACTAGCATGTATAATTTAATAGGCAGCACGATTAGACATTTCTATAATTCATTTTCAGTAGATGAAGGTTTTGCCTTGATTCTCTTCTCCAACACTGATTAAAGACGTCTTGTCTTACAGAAGGTTAACTATAAAACTAATGCATATAATATGCATTGGAACCAAAATTTAAAATAAAGGAAGAAGAAAGTAAAAACATAATAGTGGGGGAAATCCAAAAGGATACAGTAACAAAAAAATTCTAAGCTTTGCTCTAAAGAAGAAAAGTAATTCTAGCTTAAGCCCTAGATAGAAAAAAACATGCCACTTGTGCTTTATCTTTTGGGACTGTCAGCAGTTTCAATCCCAAAGAGCTCAATTACCACCCTTCTTTTATTCTCTGTCACTTCCCTCCCTCTGAGGATCCACAACATCAGTCAGGATCAAGCCTAAAACCACAGAGAATGGAGAAGGATAGCATTGCTAACACATGATGTTTTTCATCTTTTTCCTTGAAGCCTTACCCCTTAAAAAAAAAAAAAAATTACTACTTCAACTCTGATTGTTTAAGAATAATATTATTTTCCTTATGACAATGAAATATGCTACACTGGCAAATGTCTATTATCCCTTGAGACACTAACGGAAATGAGAGCTGAATCTCAAAAGGTTACCCCAAAATAAGTTCTAAAAGTCTGTACTACAGAGGGAAGACTACAAAATGAGTCTATTATAACCATTTTCTGTAAACAAGGACATAACTCACTACTGTATGGCTTAAAAGTTATTCTTCATCTTTTACATAAATCATTTTTATGCTAAGATGCACTACAAACTGTGATATTACATACACAAAGATCTTAATGTCTTAATTGTCTACATTTTATGAAAGTGTTTCCAGAGGACATATAACAAATGTTCATCACAACATTACTTCTTTCCATTGTGAGTTTTATACCTAACAGATACTCTATAGATATCTTAAATATATGTAAAATATTCCCAAGTCACCATGTTTTATATTACTGGAATTCTTTGCTCCCGTGAGATGGTTAATACTTAGCTATATCTTAAGTTACTGGTCAAAAAAAGAATATTTTGAGACTCAACTAAAAAGATAACATTAAGTTTTAATTAATCTGTGAAAAATTTAGAGTTATATAATATTTTTAATTCTGTATACATACATACACATATTTATTCATACATCTTCAAATGCGAAGCAATACACTAAAGCTTTATAAAACGTATCATTAATCTATGAATTACTTTAAATAAAGGTTAAAATGACAGCTAACAGTTAATGAGAACTTAGTAGAGGCCAGGTACTAAGTTAAGAGCTTTCTGTCTACTATGTATTCTCCCAAATCCTATGAAAACAGGTAATACTATCATAAACTTTACAGGTAAGAAAATTTAATTTAAGGTGTACAAGCATTAAGAATCTTACCTAGAGCTGCACAGCTAGTAAATGACAACTGTAGAGCCATATTCATAACCACTATGTGTATCTCCTCTCCAAAGTCAAATCATACCTCTCCCATGTAGTATCTCCAGGATAACAGTTCTATGTAACATTACTTATAATATACACTATCAATAATATATACATATATATACACACACTATAATAGTGATAATAATGCTTCTATATGAATAATATACTAATATAGTATATAATATGTACTAATATAATATACTATAAAATAAAAATCCTAAAATGCAAATTTCTTCATCCCACCTATATCTATATGTTATAAGAATTAGACTATGAAACTGCCTAATACCCTCCAAGCCTAATTTCCAGTTCATATTTCACCATCTACTACTCCCATTTTACTACTGTTCCTTAACGTTTTAATCTCAAACGAAACCATTTTTAGCTCTCATTTGAAAGTACTACCAATATTTTATTTGCAAGGAAAAAAATCCCTCTATTCTAGCAAATGCAATTTGCTAACCCACTATCTATTAAATAGCCATTTAAAATGAATAGGATTGGGGCACCTGAGTGGTTCAGTCAGTTAAGCATCTGCCTTCGACTCAGGTCATGATCCCAGGGTCCTGGGATCGAGCCCCACATCAGGCTCCCTGCTCAGAAGAGCGCTCTCTCTCTCTCTCTGTGTCTCTCTGACAAATAAATAAATAAAATCTTTAAAAATAAATAAAAAATAAAAAATAATTTTTAAATTAAAAAAATTTTTAAATAAAACAAATATGATTTTTTACTTACCTAAAGTGTACATCTGTCCTCATCAAGAGTTCATAATAAGGCATTTAGATACAATATCAAGGATAAAAGAACCACCAAGAAAATCCCAGAAACTTAGTACTGTAACTAATGCAAACTTAGCTGTTTCCCAGCAGCCAATGAAAAAAACAGAAGCATTATAGATTGCAGCTAGTAAAAAGGACAGTTCATTAAGAGATACAAACTTTTTCATTAACATGAAATTTTTAGATAAATTTTCATTTAAGTATTAAAAAGTATTAAAACATACTAGTACCAGTAACTTTCGTTGTAGTTTCTTCAGTAAC